TCATTTTCTCATTTTTCTCACTACTGGTACACGTGAAGACATATTGCAGACAGCAGCATTAGAATTCCATCCTTCTACCTAGTCTAAAATGATTAAAGTCTGTGTTCTGCTAAACCTGCTAATCACAAAGGTTTCAATCACCCAGAAATGGCACCCATAATACCCTTTATCCTTCCTGAGGTGCTTCTTCACACTTGCGTATCTGCTGTCTCCAAGTGCAGCCCCAGTAGGGTACATGTGCTCATACCCAAAGGAAACAGTACCGTACGGAAGAACCCTGTGCCAGGAACACAGATGCCAGTCTCTGATGAGTTGTGCATTTGCCATTCTTCACTATTTGGAGCCATAAATTGCTCTGAGATTGCCAGGTAACTTTTTAATTCTCCTTGTGATTGCAAAGCAGAATCTACTAGAAAATGGGATTCCCTCCTGTTATAATTTTCACCGCAAGTACCCCCATTTTGACAGTTTCCTTTCAGGAAATAATGATTTGCTCCATGGGATGAATCAAAATATCAAGTATATAAAAAAGCTGCTGTTTTACTGCTTTCCAAATCTGTTCTTTGCAAAATGAAGCAATCGCTGAAGCACAGGCTTCACCCCTCTTATACTCTCTACTTTTTAGCCAGAAGGGAAATCAATTTATTAGGTGTTCCCTCACTTGACTTACGGTTAAAAAAATCTGTACATTTTTCAGGAGGGGAGTGTTTTAGCACAGCTAAAAAAACCCTTAGAAATCACCACCTCAAAACCTGGACATTTCCTTACAAAAAAAAAGTCAGGAGAATAGACTCTATCCACAAAACCCACCAGTCCTATGACACTTCCATTTTCACCCTCTTGTGTGGAGGATAGGAGCCTGTGTTTCCTCTAATGCTCCTCACAGTCATTGGTGTCTTGGCTGCATCTGCTCAGATCTACCAATTTTCTGTTGCATTGTGCACGCGGCTTGTAAGTCTTTGGAACGCATCTCTTCATCCCTTTGCATTCAGCAGCCGAGAGTGACTTGTTTTGTGGGGCCTGCATGCAGGTGCAATAAATACTGCGGAGTTTTGGGCAGTCACGTGTGGCAGGTTTCTGCCATCAGGTATAGTGTTGGTCCTCCGTAACACCACAGCAGAATGCCTGTTCTCGCTACTCTCTCTTCATCTGTTGTCACCTCCCCTGTGGGCTGTGTGCTGCCAACGAGCTCGGAGACTGGTTAGTTGTCAAACTCTCTCTCCTCTTCATTAGCAGACACAGATCAAAGTGACAAAATTAGGAAACGGGAAATGAACAGAGGCAAGAAGTAAGAAGAAAAAATTCACACAGGCCTCAACCATTTGCTTTCTTTCTACATTGTACTTTTTTACTTCTGTGGCACAAAAAGTGGCAGCTAGACAGTCTTAAAATTTCCCATTCACTGAAGCATTCTCTCTATCCTGAGCTCACTTGCACACTTCTTTTTGCCATGCTGAGCTTTGTGGTGAACTTTTTTGTGTCAGAGTTTCTAGCTGTCAAATGTGTTCTATTTTGTGACTATAAACTAAGTGCCCTTTTTGTTGCTCTGCTGTGCTGTAGATGCCAAATTGGAGGCAACGTCAAGGCTTTCTATTTTACAATGGAAGCGCTTAAGAATAGAAGATGATTGAGGCTTTACTTTCCATCCTCCTTTTTTGAAAGGAACAGGCTTTAGTGAAGCTTAGTTGATTCTGACATGTGGTACTATTGCATAACAATGTATGACATTAACACGACCAAATTTTTGCATTTGTCTGCTTTGCTGATCCAAACTGGGCTAACTTAATGACTATCAGTGCATGATGTCTCTAGATAAGGCTGTGATTCTAAGGGGCGCCATACACTGTCAGACTTTTCTTTTTCTTTCCTTTCTAGAGTCTTGCTTTTCTGTTTAGGTTTATTCCTACTAAGAATTTGAGATGATTATGCCTACATTGCTGCATATATCCCACTAGGAACAGAAATCCTAGTTCCCTGTCTTATATACTGACACCATCTAAGATGTTCCTGAATTTAATGCTTTGATACCCTTCCTGGAAATCATTTTCCAGCTGAGTATACCTGGATTTGAGTGCTAGGCAACCTCACAGTGCAAGCTGAGAAGTAACCTGGTCCCTTTGAATTTTTTTTGTGCTCTTCTTTGAGTGTCTCCTTCCTGTGTGAAAGATTACACATGTATATATAGTAGATAAGTAAAAACATCTTTAGTTTTGTGGTATTTTTTTAACTGTCATCATTATTTTCCATCTAGAAATAGCTCTCTCAATATCAGCAACTACTAGTCCCAGGCTGAGAAATGACAAAGTCTGGACTGAACTCTCCGGAACAGAAGATGGAAGAAGGTGGTTTTAAACTCTTGGCTGGCTCTGCTATGGAACTCAGCTTTGTTTAGTGAGTGGTGCGAGTTCTTCCTGTAACACGCCTTAAAAGGGAAGTTCTGACTGAGGTAGCGGTTTAGCTGTGAGTCATGCAAGTGAAATGTTAAGTCTTCTTCTCAGACAAAAGCAAACTCAAATTCCTGAAGTGGTCCTACCCTTGAGCCTCAGAGTTTTGTCTTTGCTAGCTGGAAGCAACGAAAGGAAATGGGAAGACTTCTTTCCAGTCTTCTTAATCAAAATGTCTCTGCTAAGTTGCCTGACAATTAATTACAGGGACTGGAGTAGGGAGTGACAAACAGAAAAGGGTCCAGAAAACATCTTTGTAATTGCACTCCATTTGTCACCGTGGAGATCTCAGGAAATGGCGGTTTTGGTGTTTGGCAGGTGAGCAGGAGGTTCTGCACCTGAGAGTTTTTGTCTTTTCCAATTCATCTTCTGTGAGGGGCTGACCTTTCTCCCCTGAGTCACACATACCATTCTATATCCCTCCCTTGGTAAAAACCGCTATGTTGTGAATAGAAGTACAAGGATTAGCTTGAAGAATGCTTGGTTGCAGTAAGTCACAAGACACTGAATATTAAAAATCTAGAAAATACAGAATATTAACTGCCACCACAGTCTGCAGCAAATCCCACATATCTGGCATCACAGACCTGACAAAGCCATATTAATTATATGGCTTTTATTGCTGTTTAGCAGAATGTATTCCTCTGCAGCAACCCTTGGCAGAAGAAAGGTACTGGGGCAGGAAGGATGGAGGGAAGGAGAAGGATCATGATAGCTGGGATAGCTATACAGTGAGTGGACGTAGATATAGATATACATAGATATAGATATACAGTGAGTGGATGGATATACAGTGAGGTGTCAATGAATGGGCAGCAGGCAGGAGTTTTCCTTTCTCCAGGTAGGCTGCATGTGTGTGGCAGAGTAGCCAGATGCTCTACACTTGTGGACCGATTGATTAATTTTCCTATTAATTGATGACTGATCACTTTCCTCTTAATGCTTCCAAACTATCATTTGTCAGGCTTTCTTCTAGTCTAGGTTACACAAGGCCTGCTAACAGTAAATGCCAGTATCTCTGTGAACCCTGAAGGTTTGTATCAGGTTCTAAAATAATGTTGAAATTGGTAATTGAGAATACTAAGCATTTTCATTAGAAGTTTGCATAGTCAAAGCTGGTAGCAAGGCTCACTGTGCCCTCTAGTGTGCACATCTGTAGCTCCACTGTCTCCTCAGAATGGCAGGACGGTGAGGAAACTTGGTTTTTTTATAGCAGTGGATGAGCATGACAGGTTTCTGCGAGTCCTCCACGTTGCTCACACAAGACAATGACTAGAATTACCAGGCACTGCACTGTTATTCTTTGGCTGACAGGGTACCCAGAGACAAGGCACAAATACAGCTGTTGCCTGATGGGAACTGACACCACACATGAACCGATGTATTGCTTAAGGACAGATCAAACATGTAAATGTGGAAAGAAAAATTCCGTGCTCAGGTTTCCTTTTGTCCTAGATAAAGCCCATACAAAAAAATCCCTGCTGTATGTATTTCTAGCAGTTTTACAGATGGCAGAAATGAATGCTATTCCCCTTACCTCTACAGGTTTTGTCGTGTCAGGTTCTGAACATAGCTGGGGTCCTAGATCTTTAACCATGTATGGGGCTACACTGACATCTCCCACGTTCAGCACTTGTCTCAGGCCTGGTCTTTGCAGTCATTCTCATGCCCAGATCGCTTCATTATCCTCATAACGTGTTTAGTCTGATGATCCACAATTTGCTGTTAACATAGAATCATAGAATGGTTTGAGTTGGAAGGGACCTTAAAGATCATCTAGTTCAAACCCACCTGCCATGGCTTTTTATGTCATTAAATTTGTCGACAGATAATTTCTTGTGCCAGTAGCCTCAAGTCCCAGGAAGAGGTTGGCTAAGGTGTCTGAGCCTAAATGACTCAGTAGCTGCATAACACTTAACTGTAAATATCCAGAACATGAAGGAAATGCAGTGTTGTCACCGGCTGCTGCAGAGCCGCTGATTCTGCCTACGGAAATAAGGTGGTGGTAGGGTATCCTGCAGCTCAGACGAGGGCAGCATGCATCATGAGATACTGTTTGTAGGCCACGCCTGCAAGGTTCTTGACCTCGAAGTCTTAGGCACTTTATTCTTTCCTTTTTTTAATATCTAATGTGATTTGTCTGGTTCTGTGATTCTGTACATTTTCAAGCAACAATTCTCCAAGTCTGATCATAACGCAGTGATAACAATAGCCTTTAAAAGCTGCTGATATCTCATATTCCGACACCTGCATCAGGATGTTGGAGGAGGAAAAACGTAACGGTGCTAGAACATGTCTGCTCAGCAGGCAGTAAAGCAGCTACTTGTGATAAAAGGAAAATGTCATGCTCCAAATCACTGAACTGTAGATGAGCTTCCATTCTCTGTAGTGACCAAGCTCAGGACTATGGCTGGGCTGATATCCTTCCCCAGGCTGTGCTTCCCACACGTTATTTTGCCAGAGCGTGCAAATTCATAGTTTTGTTCACTTCCTCTAACAGCTTTTGTGAGGGCCAGAGACCATGTCACTTACAAATGTGTGGTTTTGACAAAATAGGTCGCAGACTTTGGGAAGAGAAACCTTCTTAAACTCTTGTCTGATTCTGATTTTTTCTCAGGACTCTATGTGTTGGTGGGAACAGGGGTTCTCATGACCACAGTTGGATTTTTTGGGTGCTGTGGAGCAGCGCGGGAGTCTCAGTTCTTACTTGGATCAGTAAGTAAAAGGTTTCAAAAGCCTGGGCTGTGCAGGAATATCATTCGAAAGCATATCCTTTGCATCATTAGTGGAAAGATCTTCACTATCCAAAACCTGAAATGTCTTATGTCCTTTTACTGGCTTAATATAGCATCTCTAGCCACCATGTTATTGCAGAGCTTCTGTACATGAAGAATTTCCACTGTTTGTCTCATGTGATGTATTTCCTGGAAATGCCCTCTGTCTTTTCTGAAATTACCATCTGAGCCACATCTTTGCCATATTACAAGAAATCTGACTTAACACCCTTCTTTCTTGCTGGCCCTGCTTACCAGTTTTTCTTCAGTTACCCTGTGGGCTGTTGAGGCCTGGGCAAGGATCAAGGCAGTCCACATAAAGCAGAATTATGCAAGGTATATTAATATAAGATTCTCTTCTTCCTCTGCAGTTCTTTGCTTGCTTGTTGGTGATATTTGCAGCTGAGATCACTGCTGGGGTATTTGCCTTTATAGGCAAGAAAGTGGTAAGTAGCAAGCAACTTCTAATGTAATAATGAGGCAGTTATGGATTCCAGTGCCGACTGACCTACAGTCTGGCTCTTGCACAGGAAAACCTTCCAGGAGACTTTTCACAGGAAGGCTCTCTGGAGTCAATGAGAGCTTGTGTATCACAGGTTTTGCCCCCTTCTATTAAAGAAAATCTGTAGGTGTGATTCAACCTTACGTTCACAAGGAACATCAAGTACAACTATATGATAGGAAGGTATTTCTTGGGAAGAAGGCTAACAAATTCAAGCACTGAACTACTCCAACATTCAGACCCATGCAGTGTCCCTCTGAATGCCATCAGGCCACAAAACCTCCGATGTTTTCAATCATGGTACTCAGTTTACCAGGTATAATTTTCTGCTTTGGAGTTCGATGACACAAGCTGGAGGTCTGCATTGGACTGGGGGTAAGACTGACTTGCCACTCACTTGGAAAGTCTGATTTCTGCAGGCAATACAGGAAGCCCAGAAAATCTATGAAGACATTTATGACGACTATATGAAAAACCCAGCGGGGAAGGTCAACAGGACTATCTATCACTACCACCTGGCTGTGAGTAGTCCTCCTGAACTTTAATAACTTGCACTACTACTCTACTGTCACATTACCCCTGAAAATTCAGAATACCTCCTACTGAGGTATGAAAGACTATTACTGACTATTACTTAAAATGGAGCCAGAGAATAAATACTCTCAAGAATAAATACTCACAAGTGCAGAGGGAGATAGAAAGGTCTGAATCTCTCTGCATTTGTCCAAATAAAAACTGCGACCCATGTCCCAGGACCAGCAATGTGGCAGATGCTGTCAGTTGACTGAACCGAGTACGTAAAGAACCAAAAGTGTGTGACTCAATTCAGAACACCCAAAACGTCAGTGGTTAGTGCCCGAGTCAGAATCAGATCCTCTGACTTCCTGAATCCAGTTTGTGTCTGTATCCACACAGCCTCCCACGGAGATCAAGCCCGATATTTTGCTGCTCCTTAGAGCATTCCCACGTTCTTTAGAATAAACATTTCACAACCTCAGCCCCTTTTGTCCTTCTCCCATAGCTGTTATTTCTAATCCAAAGAGGAATTCCAAGCATTTAGTGGGAGATAAGCAAACAGAAAAAAGTAACCCTGATTTATTACTGTCTCCAAACCCACACAGATTCTAGCATTCTCTGTTGCAGCTTTTGGGCATTGACCATAATGCTGTATGCACTATTTGAACTTTCTGCTTTCTACCTTTATCAACCTCTGTTTCCCTGTAAGTGGATCTGCTTTTCCAAAATCCACCTGTTTGCTTTGTTATGGGATACTGTGATAAAAATTCCTCTAGAAGGTGCCATAAATACAAATTTATCTGTTTGGTATGGCTTCAGACAATTAAAACATTTTTAAGAAGTTTGGCCCAAGCAGCTGGAAATCTACCAGAGGTAGCAGTTAATACAGGGAATAAATATATGACTTGATCTGTGTTGTTTCTTTTTTTTTTTTAGTTATTGTCTCACTTTCCAGTATGAAAGTAGTAACTCACTTTCAATATGAAACAAGTTTATGGTTTCCTCTTCCTTAATTCTTCATATTTCTCTCTCATTTAGCTCCAGTGCTGTGGTAAAGATAATATAGAACAACAAATGGGATTACCCTGTCCAGAGAATATCCAGATGCCAAAGGCAAGTGACCTCTGTTCTAGTTGTTCCAATCACTCTTCCACATCAATTTTTTAGTAAAATTTGAGACATTCTGTTTACAAGGGCAATGGGTGTAAACTAGAGCAGGGTAGATGTAGATTAGACATTAGGAAGAAGTTCTTTGCTATGAGAGTGATGAGACCCTGGCGCAGGTTGCCCAGAGAGGTGGTGAAAAGCCCATCCCTGGAGATGTTCAAGGCCAGGCTTGATGGGGCTCTGAGAAACCTGATCTAGTTAAAGATGTCCCTGCTTACTTCAGGGAGGTTGGACTGGATAACCTTTAAAGGTCCCTTCCAGCCCAACACATTCTATGATTCTGTAAGTAAAAGAAAGGAAGAACTTGCTTTTTGCCTTGCAAATTGCAGCATGAAATTTCATATGAAATGGAGCAGAGCGGAGGCAGAAGTAGGTTGGTGGTCGTGTTGAACATGCCCAGCCCTCATTTCTGAAGCCTGCCTGTAGCATCCCACAACATTACATCATCTGAAAAGTGGAAGGACATAGCAGGAGTCCTAAATGAAAAGCCCTGTGAAGGCTGCCTTTCATCCTGCATGGAGACACCTGACTAGAAATTTTCTTAAGAAGATACTGTTATTTCTGTCTTTTGTGGAATTTGCTTGTGAGTACAATGTCAATCTCAAGGGCCGAGTTTCCTCATTTAGCGTGGCCCATCATATAAAGGATTTTAAATTTAAGAAAAAATGATTATAAGAAAATGATTTGTATGTGTTGTTGGCCTTTATGGGCAAGACATACAGATGTCTCGCTAGAAAAGGGAATATGCTGTGAAAATTGTCCAACAAAACACAAGGCATAGATGCAAAAATTAGGACGGCGTGTACAGTAATCTTTTTCATGTTTATCTCTTGTTTAGTGAGAACAGCTGACAGAGTTGGTTGGAATAGATTTTTCTAGAGGTAAAAATCCTTTTATTTTGTTTTTAATAGAACTGTCTGCTTGAAATCCAGAATGTAATTGATACTAGTCTGCATCTAGTTGGAATTGCTGGAATTGCAATTGCCGGCATCACAGTGAGTAAACCCATGTTCTGTCCTCTCAAATCTATATTTAAGCCTAGGACCTTTCCCTTACCTTAAAGCTTTGTGGAAGGGGTTTTGCAGCAACTGGTGAGATCCCAGAGTTTCAGTGTGTCCTCTCTCTGGAAATTGCCTACATCAGCACGAGTGGACTTCCGTGACTTCTTTTTACCAGTTCATTGTGTGTCCTTGGATGGGGTCCAAAGTATTTAATGGTGGTCTTCCTTTGTTGTAATAGTAGGAAAGCAGAGCACACATGAACCAAAGTGAAAAGCAAAAGGCTGTAGCAGCATTTCATCTATGCCAAAACAACCGCAGACTGATGGTTTATGTACTTTGAGTATCCACTCCTTAGATTTCATAAGGAATAGGGAGCACCTACCCATTGTATATAATATATAATATTTCTATACAATATATTTTTATACTCTCTCTCTCTCTCAAATGCTCACTGTAGCATTGGTTCAATGTGAAGGATAGTTTATAAACAGATTTTCTAGGTCACGGATCCCACGATCAGTGTATATTTTGTTAAAGGAACAGGATTTAAACTGCAGAGTTTTCAGAACAGCATTTCTTTCCTGAGCGCATCACACCTAGTTACAGGTAGCTGTTTCATCAAACTGTATCATCAGAGCATTGACTGATAGCCATCCTTACAGTCCACCTTCTCCCACCAATGTGTATTTTATTTCCAAGGTCTGCTCGCTCCTGACAGAGCTGTGACCAATAGATGTCACCCTGCTGCAAGGCTCTGGCAGGACTGGGCAGTCTATGTCAAACAGAGGCTTGAACAGAAAGCATTTTCCAACACACGTGTGCAAGGACTTCCTTCAGACTCAGAAACCAGCAGCAGTCTGAAGCAGTGTAAGGAGCCAGAATATTAGTAAAGAAACACACCTTTAGCTGCTCTGAAGAGCCAGAGGTTCATGGACTTATGTGGACATTTTAAAGCAGATGAAGGGTTGACGTACTCAATAGAAACTGTGGTGTGAGTAAAGTGGACTAAACAATCCTGTGATTTGTATGATGGGTGTACTCAAAAATACAGTAAAGCAACAGGGATGGGACAGAGTTCCAAAAACCTCATTGCTCAACAAGGACACACCAGAAATATGAACATCTCTTCTATGGCTTCCCACCTCAGATACAGCAGAAGTTATGAAATTAGAACCCACTCAGCAGCAGAGCCATGTCTGTACATTTTTCTGGTCATGGAGTGTGACTGACCAGCTGTCTCCTTCCTCAGGGAGGTGTGTGGGGAGGGGATATGAACTCAGTGGTTTAACTGCCTGATAGTACTACTCATCTCCTGTCATTAGCAATGAAGCCCCAGGTGATAGCTCTTAACTGCTTTGGACAATCAACCTGCAGCAAAAAAAAAGAAATTTCTGAAGACTCAGGCAACACCCACTATTCTCTGCTTTTAACATTCCCCCTGGTTAACGAGTTCTCCAACAGGAATGGTTTTATATTTAATGCATAGTCTTGCTATTGAATAGTAATGGTTAAGCGCTTAGCTTTCTCTGTAAAACTGCAGTGCTTAGCACCAGTTCCTCTGGAGTCATTCTCTGCACTTACTCAAGTGTATATACAATATTCCATGTAGAAACATTCTGAAAAAACTTTTGGTGAATGCAAGGTGTAATAACAATAGTCACAGTTACTGATGTCAGTGAAATCTAGGTTATTAACATCAATGTTTGGGGTTGTTTTGCTGCCCCTTAGCAATTGGAACAAAGAAACTAGCGTGAGGAGATATAATCTTGGCTTTGAATATCAGTGAAATCTCTTTTATATTAATTATCTGATGGGGTTGTAGACTGAAGCAGTCATTTGCTACTCTGCACACGAACCTTCAGACTGTTCTGACATGCAGATTATTTTATAACTGTTTTGTAAGTGAATCCCTAAATCCCATCCCTTCTCTTCTAGATCTTTGGCATGATATTCAGCATGGTTCTGTGCTGTGTGATCCGTAACACAAGAGACATGATCTAAAACTGTCACTGCACAACTGTGTTCCAGGAGACACAACTATGTTCCCGACTAAACTTTACAAGAAGTGCTCTTCTACATAATGTAATAATTGTAACGCATTTTAATTAGTGTTTTAACATACTGAGAGGAAAATATCCCATTAGGTGAGCCGGGGAATTGTTTTACGGTAAAACTGAAGTGAACAAAAAAAGGTTTTATAATGTCCTTTTTAATGAAAACAGCAAAGGTGCATCTAAGACTAATTTGATTTTAATGTTTGTATATGTGCAGTTAAGAGTTTGCACATCTATAGTCATGTGTAAACACACGTGTATCTCTCCTTACATACAGACATGAGCAGGTACCTTTATGTGCAGTACCTTGTTTTGGTAAGTATGCGCAAATGGAATTAAGTTGTGTGTGCGTTCCAGAATCTGCAAGAGTGTACACACACCCATGAGTATACAACGCTTCAAATCTTTTTACACTGACCCCTGTTGCCAAGAATTAGCAGGGGAACAAATGCCATTTAAAAAAGTAAGAACTATAATCGATTTTGTAACTGTTCTTTCCAAAGCCCAAGCAGAGTAGAACTAATAAAATTGGACTTTAGTTAAAAGAAAAAAAAAAAGCCTAATGGCCTGCTCCAGCAAACTTTTATTCAAGTAAATAAACCCATTGACTTGACTGTCACACAGAGACTGGATTGGGTTGGTGCTTTTAGGACTGGACCCTTCATGAAAATGCAGAAAGCTCTGGGGGTAGAAATATGCCCGAGGAGGTCTAGGCTAAAGAGGGGGAAAGAGGTGAGAAGCTGACAAGATAATGCAGTCATTTGGGAGCAATTGCAGTGCAAAGTGTGCCTAAGCTTCCCAAGCTAGCCAGAGACACACACACAAAAAAACTAATCCAGGAGTTAAAGGGGCCACCAAAATATTGATTCAGAAGTCCCTTTATGCTGCAAGACTCTGCATGGTATATATGTTGGTGCAGGAGTGGAGCCTATATCCAGAAAAGCAGCAGCTTTGTCAGATGCTCTGTAGAATCTACCTGGCCTGTGGAAGCCAACAGAAGATTGAAAATGGTCAGGGAAAGACACATAGCACTTTAATATCCTCTGTTTCTGCTTCTGTGACTATCACAGCTTCCGTGGGTCTCTTACCTCAACCTCACCCTTCCTTGTGGGTGTAAGGCAGGAAAGAAAGATGGGATATTTTTACAGAGCCATAAAGTAAATTTTCTTACTGGCACCTTTAGATTGCATGTCAGGTATAAAAATTATACTGTGCTTGAAATACCTCAGGGCTTGTGTTTACATAGTTTCTATATTTTTAATTTTCTATTTGTCATATTTATTCATAAGAGAATCTTCCTTTTAAAACAGCCTGGAAGGGAGAAAAGTTGTCCCTAGAAGGGGAATATAAATTACATCAAAGGCTCAGAATCCCTTAGTTTTTTGCTTACTTGAGATAATTCACCATTTCAGAGAACAGCTTCTTATTAACAATATCCACATAGCAGCTCTGTCTCTCTGATGATCACTAGTTCAGATTTCTGATGCAGGTATTCCATGCATGATGGCGAAAAGCTCAGCTAAACTACATATCTCATTGAAATCATACATGATGTCTAACAGAACTTGGCATTTATAAGTCACGGGGAAAGAAATGGGTTTTCAGAAAATGCAGGCGTTCCAGTGCACATGTTTGTGTGGGATATACATCCCTCATGATAGTTATCTTTCATTTCTCCAAGCAGCTCAATCTCCCATCACTTTTCTGTTACTTCAGGGCTGGAAATACGAGTTGCTGTTCCATGTATCCAATTTAATCATAGAATGCATTGGGCTGGAAGGGACCTTTAAAGGTCATCTAGTCCAACCCCCTCTCAACACGTCTTGCTCCCTTTTACATAGATTTCTCTTTTCAAATTGTTCAGCCACAAACTGTGACACTGAGAGAGCTGCGCACTAAATGCTGGACATGCAGCAGGCCCTGCCAGCTGCGTGGTTTCCCAGTCTAGCTTTAGGTACCCAGCTGACAGCGAGATATCACATCTTAGGCCAAAGAGTTGGGCTTGCATCGCTCCCTTCACAGCTGATTAGCCGTGTAAAAGAAGGGCCTGAGACCTTATTCTGCAAGCATCAGATGAGGAAACTGGGCCCCAACCTGCTGTCTGCTCCTAGGAAAGGCTCAACTGGGAGAATGACACTGGCAGCAAATCCATGAGGGTCCCAAACTGAAACTAAGAAAGGAAGTTTCTCACAGCAGACAACTGACAGAGCCAAAACAATTTTCTGGATCCCAGGTACACTTGAGACTATCCTATAGCTGGGTCTGCTCTAAATGGATAATGGAGTAGTATACAACTGGAATATTTTTTCCCAGGCTAATACTAATGGAAAGAAGAAACCTGTGCATAGTGTAATTTTTGCCATTCAGAGCAAGACAGCTTTCCAGGAAAAACAGTAAAAATAACACAATAGGGAAGCCAGGGGTTCAGGTTACAAGATTATTGCCCTACAGGGACAGAAATGTATTGCAAATAAATCTATTTCCTTCTGATACACTTTCCCTCATATTTTATTTATTTTAAACACATCTACGTTTAATCGGTTTTAATTCCTCAAATTTGTAGCACCAGAACGTAACGATAGGACCAGAGTTTACTTCTTTATTTGTTTACTGTTTCTGAAGTTGGAAGATGCCCACTCCTGCTTTTGAGATGCACTGAATAAAAAGGCAGCTGGCAGAAACTTCTGTTGCTTCCCTAGTCCCCCTATCTCCTAGAAGCACAAAAACATCTAAGTGCCTTATGAAAACAGGGAAGAGTGGTAAAAAGAAACCTTCTATAAATTCAGACTTGAACAACCTAACTTTCTGCTGAAGTGTGGGTTTGTGGGTTGTTTTGTTGGGCTTTTTGCTCCTCTGAACAGTACATTTGTGTTTCTGAGCACAGTTACTGCTTATACTCCAGGGTTTACTGCTATTTAGGTATATGGGATACTTGCACTGCATATCAGGAATAGAATAATACTGGTTTAGTTCTCTAAGGTATTGTTAAAAATTAAGTTGGAAATCAACATGTAATGAATCTACTAGTGCCTTTAACAGAGTGCAGAGATATAGTCTCTTTTGTTGTTTTCTGCTGTTGTGAGGTGCATTTGCAATTTTCTCTGCATCAGTAACCGAGAGTCTTTTTAAACTCATTAAGGGACCAAAAATACAGCTGTTCTTTCCCTGTCAAAGTGGTAAGAATTCTTCTCTGTTGCTTATAGATAATAGCTAGTTAATAACTACAACTTCCACTGACGAGCTTGAGTAGCCCTTTTTAAATGATCACATCACAAGTGAGGTTATGGGTACCAAAACTGGATAGACAGTGCCCACAGTTTACTGTGCTCTGTCATTTGAGCTCTTGAAAGTGCAAAATCTTTGATCTTTGTCAGCAGTACAAAATCATTTCCAAGCAACCATACCATATGTCTTCAGTAAGAAGACTTTTCAAAGGTAACTTACTCCGAAACAGTATCTAAGCTTCCTCAAATACAGTTCATGCTCCAGAGTTGCATGCCAGGACTTTCTTAACAAATTCTAATGCTACTATGCACCAGACACATCGTAACTGTCCTATAACTCAGCATAAGTATTCATTTAGTCCTGCCCCTACCTGTTTCAGAGGAAAGTGACAAAGATCAAATCCCTCCCGGTGGTAACTCTGAAAATACATCACACAAATTTTCTCCTTCTCATGTCAGTTTGTTCTAAACCATAAAGATGTAAATTGTTCATGCCCTTATTATATCTCTGAATATCATTATTCACATTTCCTGTGTCCAGTTTTTCTAAGTATCTGACTTCAGTGGGAGCTTCATTTGTTACAGGAAAACCTCAGCCGGTTCTGCTGCCTTGCAGAGGTGGCACAGGAGCTAATGAAGCACAGCCCGGTAGTATCGCTACAATGAAGATTCATATTTCACTTTTCTTCAGTCTGGAAGTGAATAGTCTTAGAGCAAAATATATGTCGTACGTATTGAAAAAGAAATCGAGCTATCTTAAGCCTTCGAATGCTGTATTTTACAGCCTTTGGAGGCTGCTGATGAACAGCATCAGACATTGTTCATAGAAAATGTACATAAATAAAGCTTTTCAATCTTACTTCTTCCTCTATTGGTGCTCCAGACACTAGGTTCGCCAAAACAAAAACCCCGTCCAGTTTAACCTGTGTGTTTCTATAGCACAAATTCCGATTTGGGACTGAACTGCGGTACCGGTTTATGCTGCACAGTCTGTGACACCGTCACCTCCACGGCAGCTGCCTGCGAGAGGAGAGAAAACGACTTGCTCTGGGGATGAAACCAGCTTCACTTCCCCTCATCTCATGCGTTCTGAAGTGGCGTCTTATCAGCTTTTCTGTCTTGAATTTGAAACAAAGCTTTGTAATAAAACTAACCTGACGTGAACAGCTACCGGAGAGAACTCGTCCCCGCGCTCCCGCCTGGGGGATCCGCGCCGCGCCCCGACCGCCGCGGAAACCCGCGCACCGGG